CCCCAAAACCCCAAAACCCCAAAACCCCAAAACCCCATCTGTGCATTATAGTTAGTAATGTGAGTTATATCTATTTAAATTAAGAAAGTGAAATCCATCTGAAATAGAGGAATATAAATCATTAAGTATTTTAAGTTATGATCTCTTAGTAAAGATATCTGATTCTGATTCGTTCATTTTTTATTCATTCTCATGTTCTTAGCCTTAAGCATTTCCTCGTAGTATTTTTTCATATAATCCACTTTTACGAAGTATTGGTGATCGACCTCCTCAGCATTTTCTAGCTTAGTTCCAATCTAAGAGAACTGCGTTGCCTAGAATATCTTCTTATTCTCATGCAGACCATAACTTGGGAATATCACCATATATGAATTTCTAAGCTTCATTCTTCTATTGAAGGTTTTCTGAGGAGAGTTCTTGGTGTCTAGATACTTTTCATGTTCCTTTTAGTTATGGAAGTAGTAGTTTGTTGTGTCTCTCACTGAGTTTTAGAATGGGTTCTTCTGAGTGTTCGCCAATAAATCTTATTTGTCCATTACTATTGGTTCTCCAGTCACTGGGTGGGTGTACATCAGGACTCCTTGCTATTGCCTATCAGATCTGTGATAAGTCTTAAACGGATCTTGACTTTCATTTTGCTAATCAACATTTTAAAGATCCTATGTAGACATGCTTCTACCGATATGCTTATGAACTCTTCCGCTATCAGACACCATATTAAAGGAAGAGTGGCTGTGCTTCATATACTTCTAGTTCTGAATGCCCTATTCACTCTAGCTATTGCCCGTTGGCAGTCTCTGACTGCTCTGATATCTTCTAAGCTCTTGTGATGCATTTCTTTCCATTTAAATGTTACTGGGTGAGCTAGGCTGAGTATTCACATTGTTGTTAGATCTTTATGCTGATTAAATAACTTCTATGCCGGTTTTTATGGCGGGCAAGTTTTGAAGCTTTATAGCTTGCATGTTATTCAATTATTGCTGACCGATTTGATTTGAGGAGTTTCTGAGTTTAAGGCCCACATCTAATATAATCATTACATAACGGATATTATAACTTACTTTGAGTCTTATCTTCTGTTCCTTTGTTAGGCATAAATCCCTTTAGGTGAGACTGATTTACCTTCATTGCATTGTTTTACTATTTAAGAGATATTAGACAACATAAAAACTAAAGTAAATCATACATTAGTCTGAGCTTGAAGGAAATTTGATCTTGATGAGTTGATCATTTGAGGATTGTATGAACTTGATTAGTTAGCAGCCAACATTTTATTTGGTAATAGTTTTATTTATTATCTTGCAATTTAATTTATCAGCAACACTTATACATCCATCAAGATAAATCCTATATCATGGGGTTTTGGGGTTTTGGGGTTTTGGGGTTTTGGGG